ACAATTACATATGTCCACATACCTTGACGCTGCTTCCCATTCGAACGACAAAGCTCTAGGTATGACACAATTTATTCATGCTTATGCGAATTAATTTATTGTTAGTAAAATTGCACCTCATTAGTTTGATAATTGAAATTATTTATGTATGTCCTCAGAAAAAGGCGGAAACATACGAGAGTATTGGAAAATTTGTTGAAGGCCTCTAATGTTCCGGACTTCGTTAGAAACAACCCTTTTTCATCGGATTAATTTGTTTGTCGGTACATTATTTGAAATTCTTGTGTATTTAAATTTTGGTGTGATTATATTGTATGTATATTTCATAATTATTCCATATTTGCTTCTATGTGTACATATACATTTGAGTGAGTTTTAAGATATAATTTAGTAATTATAGGCGTCTAATGATTAATTTTTTACGTTACGGTATATATTATTGTTAAATTAAAAATTCTTAATATTATTTTATAAAATATCAACACAATCAACTAATTTTTGTGCAAATGAAATATTAAATTAATATTGTAGGTGGAAAACATGAAACATACTTAAAAAATATTGAAACATAAATTACATATCTTTAAAAAAAGTTTCGATCCTTTTTATAAAAAGTATGGACACTTTCACATATTATAATAAAATAGATATTTGTAATATAAACCGGTATAAATATACCGGTCTTATGCGCGAATAGGTCTACAACCTATATCGACACTTTTTAATATTGTGTCGGTACTTTATGTCCATATTGGAAGAAATTGTGTCGATATAATTTAAAAAAGTGTCGACATTTTACACATCGGAACCCATAATTATAATGTAATAGATAATTTTGTAATATAACCGGTATAAATATACCGGTCTTATGCGCGAATAGGTCTACAACCTATATCGACACTTTTTAATATTGTGTCGGTACTTTATGTCCATATTGAAAGAAAAATGTGTCGATACAATTTAAAAAAGTGTCGACATTTACACATCGGAACCCATAATTATAATGTAATAGATAATTTTGTAATAACCGGTATAAATATACCGGTTTTATGAGCGAATAGGTCTACAACGGTATCGACACTTTTTAATATTGTGTCGGTACTTTATGTCCATATTGGAAGAAAAATGTGTCGATACAATTTAAAAAAGTGTCGACATTTTACACATCGGAACCCATAATTATAATGTAATAGATAATTTTGTAATATAACCGGTATAAATATACCGGTTTTATGAGCGAATAGGTCTACAACCGGTATCGACACTTTTTAATATTGTGTCGGTACTTTATGTCCATACCATTTAAAAAAGTGTCGGTAATTGAAGTAACGCGGTTTTTCTTCCTTCATTCAAATATTTATGTACATACAATAGGAGTGATGTTGATACTTACGATATATTATATGGAGATCGTTGTCATTCCATTCCGTCTTCGAAAAAATCAGTTGATGTAGGCTGTGTGCTTGTACTCAAACTAAGCTTGACTTGAGGACATGTTAGTTTGTTATGCATTCTACTAATTCCGGCTTCGTATGGGAACTTAAGTAATCCGCTTTCAACTCGTTCATACGCATTCTACTAATTCCATCTTCAATTGCACGAACAACATCTAAATATGTCTTCTTGTGTTTCAGTGCAATAGCTAGTGAAGCATTCATAGACTCGCACCTTTGTGTTGAGCGAATATTGGCAAAGAAATGACCGGTTAGATATGCTTGTGCCCATAAGTGTCGTGTATTTCCTTCTCAATCACCCATGGATGCTTTGGACGTTGAATTCTGAAACAATCGAACGCCATTGAATATCAAATTCCTTGGTTGTCCACCAGGAAGCCATGCATTTTGAGAATGCTGCTGTAAACTTTGGGTCACCAATGTTAGCTTGTGCATTGCGAGAAAGATGCCAAGAACATAATCTGTGCTTAGCATAAGGGATAACAGATTTGATAGCCCTCTGCATTGCCCTATCCCCATCGGTTACAACAGAAATAGGTGATTTATTCATCATGGCTTCTAAAAAATTCTGTAGCACCCACTCGAAAGATTGAGACGTTCGTCAGCGATTATGGCAGTGGCAAACACAATTGTGTTATGGTGATGATTGACACCAACAATAGGCATAATTGGTCGACCATACAATTATCTTTGTACGTTGTGTCGAACGCAATTACATCACCGAAGCATGTGTAATCCGATCTCGATGTAGAATCCGACCAATAAGATTATACAATGCCCCCGATTCGTCTACCGAGTATGTCATAAAAAACCCGGGATCATCATGTTTCTTATAATCAAAGTAGGCAATAAGCGCATTCACATCCCCATCGACGATTTCCTTTGCTTTACCTCTTTGAAGTGCATTGTAGAGGTCTTTATGTGTAAATCCAACATTATGATAGCCCCCTGCCTGCTGCGTTAAATAGTTCATTACTTGTGACGTGCCAACACCGACCCTTTCAATGTTGTTGCCTCATCGATATCAGCCTTACTTACAGCTCGATTAGAACGCATAAATGGGTCATAGCAGATGTGCACAATGCATGATTATGTTTCTGATCAGACTTACTTATAACCCACTGATCGTTTGTATTTGTTGCTGTAACTACGACTCTAGCCTTACATCCTGTTTTGTGACTGGCGTATGAGCACGTTGACGATCAACAGTATTGACTTTTGATACTCGAAACCCTTCTTTGGAACAACAAATTCTTGTGTCTTCACATTCCCTTCCACGTCAAGCCGTGTTGTTCCCTTACGTGCACTAACCCATGTTCCCGTGCGAATCCCTTGTAAAAGTGCCAAGCTTGATCACGTGAACAGAAGAGCTGACCAACCAATCTGTCAGATTCATCAACATTATGTACTTCATGGCATTCCTCGGTTGGCTTAACATTGTCTACATCAGTATTATCCATGGCAAAAATTTTGTTGTGCAAGTCAGTGCTCCAGGAGTTGATGGATATGTAAACGAAGGTTCATTTTGAACATGTTTCTGTAGTTAAAGGGTGGGTACAACATTAAATTCGCAGTACATATTTAGGTATGTACAATAACTACAAGTATATTATCATTTTAAATTCGCAGTACACTGTTAAAAAATTGAAACATAATTACATAAGTTTAAAAAAAAGTATCGATCCTTTTTATAAAAAGTATGGACACTTTCAATATAATAGGTAAACTATGATGTAATAGGTAGCCCTTATATAATGTAATAGGTATCGTTTATATAATGTAATAGGTAATGGTTATATTGTAAAGTGTCTATCCTTTTTATAAAAGTGTCCATACTTTTTTCACTGTGGAAACATAATTTAAGGTTATCTTTTGAGTGAGTTTTAAGATATAATTTAGTAATTATAGGCGTCTAATGATTTATTTTTTACGTTACGGTATATTATTATTAAATTAAAATTCTAAATAATATTTTATAAAATATCAAACAATCAAATAATTTTTTGTGCAAATGAAATTATTAAATCAATATTGTAGGTGGAAAACATGAAACACTGTTAAAGTATCGATCCTTTTTATAAAAAGTATGGACACTTTCAATATAATATAATGTAATAGGTAAATTTGCAATGCTATCGGTATAAATATACTGGTTTACTTATAAAATAGGTAAATATAAGCGCTACCTATTACATTATATAAGCGCTACCTAGTATGTTATTGTACTTTATAATATTTCCGGTTAAATAATATAACATAACCGGTCTAAATTTTAACCGGTCACTTGTTTAACCGGTCACGCCGTATATTAGCCGTTTTTTAGGCGCCGCACCGCAGAACGACCCAATATTGAAATGTTTTCCCATCGCCCAAAATTCAATTACTAATTATACTAAAAGAACATAAACAAGTGTGGAAGAGTGGGGACCCTCAAAAAAAATTTGATTAAGATAAGGTGATTAAATATATGCAAGAGGACAAATTGCTATAGCTTGTAATTTCAACAGGAAAACACACACCCTTTTATGGTAAAGATCCAAACGAGAAGAATCATTTTCATAAACATCTGGATACTAAGAAATCACTTCCGTAAATCTTGTAGCCAAACCGAGCACTCTGATGTCAACTATTGGAAAAACTTAGAGGGGAATATTTTCCTTCAATCGCAACGAAGATTTTGCAGATATAAAGAAGTCGAGCTAATGAAAGATTTGGAATGCGGACACTTGTTACAAGAATATGAACTGTGACTCTGATCATATGTGTGCTTCACTGTGACTGGAAGCATGATGATCACAAGTTTCGTAAGCACAATTTTTCTTTGTTTGTAAGAATGATAAGGCATTGCATGAGCCCATAGCATAAAGTTTGGCGGATAAGCTGGAAACTATGGTGAAGAAACTTGATGGCTGGGAAACATAAATAACTTGGGATGGATAAGAATGCCAACATCTGGCAATGGTAGTGCGAACCAAGGTTCGAGCAAACAGAGCTCTCTCTCTCTCTCTCACTCACACACATGGTGATAAGAGTTTAGAATGCGGATTCAAAAGTGCTAAACTCTTCATCTCATCAGGCAATATGTACCAAAGATGGGTTTCCCTTAACATAAAAAAAAGTTCATAACTTTAGCACAAATGTAAGAGTTTAAAATACCAGATAGCATCCATGGGCAATTCTACAGAGGGACCGTTTTAAAAGAGTGAAGGAAGCTGCAAGGGAACCAAAGGAGACAAAGCAGAAGAAAAATTCCTATGAAGATTAAATCATTGAAATACTCTCCCTTTTAGAACAGCAGATGTTTCGGGGTTTTGCAAAGAAATAGAATGGCATGCTTCTTTTGGGCTTACTGTTCATGCTTTTCGGCAGGTTATTTCTTAGCTAGAATTATGAAACATCTATAACCTTTTTTATTTTAAAGAGTAGAAAAATAGCTGATATATATATATATATATATATATATATATATATATATATATATATATATATTATTAGCTTTAGAAACAGTGAAAATTAGTATGAACAATAGAAAATGTTTGAATGAGCTGAGGAAATGTTAAGTCAGTGTCAAGCATCAAGGTAAAAGAATCTACACTCAAAATCACATACAAGACGAACATCAATTCATGCACAATATTTCCAAATGAAAGAAACCAAAACACAACATACTACCAACTTCTACCAGTTGGCATTTCCCATCCCGTCTGACTACACAATGTTAGCATTCAAAGGCCATTCACCTCCATGCTTCGAAAAGCTCAGCTCTCGCATTTATCAGCCCGGCTATTCTTGTTCCCTTATTCTTCTGGACAGCTCCTGCTGCATTACTAATCGATTGTTCAATTGCCTTCTTTGTTCCCTTCTTTAGACTCGAAGCACTTGATTGATCAGTTCTGCTCTTTCCGGATGTACTTTGGAGACCGCCTTTTTCGAGTTCGTTTGCTAAAGAATTCACTTGAGACACTAAAGTGCAGGGACAGTTATCAAGGAGGGATCGGTTTCCAGCACAAATGTTCTCGATTGAAGTTAGGAAACCTTGAGAGCTAGTTTCGGTTGTCAAATTCTCTTTAGCAGAGTGAGGGGGGCTCTCTACGGCAGGTTCTTCAGCAACAAAAGCTTTCTCTCCTTTGCTTTCATTTTTAACCTCCTCATTGGCATCTTCAAGTAATTGCAAAGAGCTTTGCTGTCCATTCTTATCAGAAGGCTCCAAGCGAGAATCGGGATTAGAGTCAACCATAGAATCTTCTCTTTCTTTAAGTGTTCTAATAATAAGTGTCTTCAGAAGATTCATCACCTGGACTGCATACATCAATGCAGTTAAAGGATCCGACATCTGCAATAAACAGCAGTGATGAATATCCATATTGAATACATGATATCCAACACTAACCTATGATATGAGTATCAACTATCAAGTAACATAGCTTTAAGGTGCCCCAGAAAATAGTGTTTTCATGAGTGGAATGAACTGTGAATCTTTTCCAAGGACCTCTACCTTTCCTAGGTTTTGAAAATACAGCTTTGAGTGCAAACTCAAGTTTTTAGGGATGCATCCATTTTTAAAACCAGTGTCAAACTACCTCAAATCTCAGTAACCAATAATTTTGCATCAAGTCTGAGTTTGAAATGTGTATTTAAATTGAAACTACCAAAAGATATTTACTCACTTGAGTCATGTTTGGAGCAAACACCATCGCAACATTACGTGCATTCATCTTGTTCAACTGTTCCACTTGCACAACATCAGCCATTAAATTTATTGCCCAATCCAGTAGAGCAGCTTCGGTTGGAGGAAGGAGCCTTACAAGCCGAGCACACTCTTCTTCCGACTCGGCTTGCATTACCTCTTCCGGAGGAAGAGAATCCAAAACACCACTAGGAAGTTCCCTAAACCAAGCCTGCAAAATCATAAACACCACAACCGAATAGAAAAGTTCATTCAACTGGGGAAGCTCTCACCATTATTTGCAGTTATCGTGGCGGCATTTTGAGTCCATGAATCAATCCTTTCAATAGCTCAGTTCATCCTCAATATTTTAATTACTTAAATAAAATAAGCCTGATAAAATACTAGTAGAGACACCTATGAACCCAATATACACACGAGAAACTCGTTGAAACTAATCAAATACGCCCCGAAGATATTGAAGAGCAAAGAAAATACCTTTATAAGACCAGCCAAGCAATGTACATCTATACTCTCTGGTATAACTCCCCTATTTAGTTGTTCCCTGACATACTCCTCGTGATTGTTCTCAGCATTAATTCTGAAAATTCCTTCAGCCTAAAGAAATATATATATAAGAAGTTAATTACTAAACCGGATACTTCAAGCAATCATATAGCCATAGAACAGAGTAGACCTGGAGGCCTCCTCGGGCATATAAATGACTTTGCAGCAGTATTAGTATCGTCGGTACACTATTCCCTCTAGAGTCCAGCGAGAGCTGCATAGATTCAGTCGAAACACCGAACACGCTCGCGCTGCACAAGAATGGTACCTTAGTCAATGAAATAAAAGTAGAACAGACATGTTAAGTGGATATGGAAAAGACCTTGACAACTCTATTATCATTTACCACCAAAAAAAGTTTTCATTTCAATTTCCAAACAGTCAATGAAATCAATTGAATTCAACTATGGAATTCAAGTTTGATCTTTCATCTAAGCATTGCAAACAATGAAAAACAAACATAGAATAGATATTATTCACGTAAGGGTTATTCATCAAAATAATATAAGGGAAGATTATAGAAACCACCAGCAAGATAAAAGGTATACAATGAAGAGAAAGACTTGAACTTTTTTGGGAAGCAATTTGCATCCACAGAGAGAGGGGGAATTCACAAAAAAAAAAATCTCAAGAAAACATCTACAGTTACTAAAATAAGCAAACCCCATAAAAATGATTCAAAAACTACCCCTTTGACAATCATGAAAGATACCCCATACGAGAATATCAATCAAGAAAGAAAAACAAATAAAAAAAACCTGAATTGATAAACTTGCCTGGCACTCGGTGCTCTTTTGGGGACCTCGGGCTCAAATTCAACCGGCAAACCAAGAAATCCATGGAACCTATCAAAAGTCACATGAGCAACATGTCTGACATTGGTAGGCAACCCGATTTCCATTGAACAGAGCTCTTTATTTCCAGAAAGGCTACACCCAATCAACGACTTCCTAAAAGCAGCCACCAAAAGCGTTAATAAAGACAGCTGATCTCCTTCCCCTTGTCTGTCCCTTTCTTTCCTCTCTCCCTCTTCCCTATTCTCTTCTTCTTGATCACTCTCTCGGGCTATTATATTCTCCACGGTGCTTACATTAGAGTTTGTATAGACATGTGGAGTTGAGGCGGAGCTTGAAAATGAAGGGAAGTGAGATGGGGATGATTGGAGTACTTCAGTCATTATGTTTTTTCTTTTCCCTTTATTGGAGTCAACAAAATTAGAGCCAAGAAACCAAAAACAAATGGGGTTTCTTTGGAAGAAGGGGAAATCAAGATTTGGTGTCTATGTAGAGTTGGATTGAAGCAAAGATTTTGGATGGTAGGAAGCAACTATCATCCCTTTTTAGGGTTTTTTTTGCCCTTTTTATACAATTTTCTTGGCTGGCTTTGGGGGGTGATGAAGAAAAGGGTAAAGATTGAAAATTTAGGGAAAGGGAGAGAAGCGGTGGTGGATGGAGGAGATGAAAGACTGAAAGATGATACCATCTTCTCTACAGTTAATCAAGCGTTGCCATCTAAGCATTTAATAAAGGAATTTTTAGCCAGCTGCCTAATTTAAGGTTAAGATTTAAGATCAAGAAACCATCAACAAAAATATAATATTATTTTAATTTTAATTTTTTAATTTTTTGTCAATTAAAAATATTATGAAAATGTAATATTTTTATTTAATCATAAATTTTAAGTAGAAATTAATAATTTATATTATATCTAACTTTAAATTAGACAATTGTCTCTTAAATTTTATCTTTGACACATGGGTTATGTATGTTGGGATTAAAGCATGTATGACATGATATGATAATGATATGCATACTTCAGTTTCATGGTTTTTATTCTTTTTTCACATCTAATCCCAACATAATTTTACATGGAAAAAAATCGTCTTAACGTAAACCCAAAACAAATTTTGTTCCCTTTCACTTTGCTTTTCTGCTTTACCATCCAAAGGATCAAGATTTGTCTATTTGCAAGTTGTACATTTGGATTTTAAGAATACTGCATGGAGTATTCTCCAATCTCCCTCCATTATCTTACCAAAACTCTTCCCTTCTCTTTATTATTCAACTAAATTCTCATTAACAATATAATCATTTACTTTAAAATCTTTTAAAAATTGCCACCAAACACGTGCCAACCACTATCCACACAAAATTTTCCCCATAGGCAACTGTTGCCTGTTGGGGGTGAGTTGTGGATAGAGTTGTAAATACAACGAGACATATCACGAGTTATTTGAGATCGATTCAGTTAAAGTTTAATAAATATTTGATTTGTTCTTGACGATCCGAAATGAACTACTTAATACTCGACTCAAAAAGCCCGTAAACAACTCTAAAATATAATATATTAATTTTTTATTTTAAAAAAATAAATTATTATTAATATAAACATTTATGTGTTGATTTTGGAAGAAAAAAAAAGATAGTATAGGTTTTCTTGTATTTAAGGTGATTCTTCGAGTTGATGCTTCAATCGAGTTAAGTTTAAGATTTTTTTTCATTTTGAGTTTTTTGGAACTTTTACGAACTTCAGTTCATGATTTCGAGTTTGTGTCAAACTTGAAAATTTTAAGCTCGCGAGTTTTCGAGTCGAGTCGAGCTTTATTTCAAAGTTTTCGAATAGAGTCTAACTCAACAATACTTAAACTCGACTCGACTCGACTCTTATCATATCATTCATAAAACCATTTTTTTATCATACCTGTCTACCCTTTAAACCAGGAAAATGCTAATGTCATTATATTCACTATCATGATTAGGTAGTTAACATTTAAGAACAGCCAGCCCCCTTTGAAAAGGGTAGTTGGATTCTGCAACGGGTCCTTGTGGCCTCCCTGGTCTGCCTTTTCGAGGAACACCCTAAATATGACGAAGGAAAAACAAAAGTGAAAGTGAAATAAATTTACCTCATCATTCATTAAGAGTTCAGCATTTCATTAGAGTCACTATTTAGAGGTAATGGAGGTCGCCCTTCTCTCAAACAGATCGAAAAATATTTATAATGATTCTTGTTGACGATGTCGGATATATAATCATCATATCTCATCGTAGGTTAACAGACTCAACAGATCTAATCGTCAGATCTTTGATTTCACTCTATTAGTTCACATAGAATAATCATAGATTTTATCTATATACTATAGTTGATTCTAAAAGTATGATACTCTTAAAATAATATGAGTTCCTTAAAAATTCCGATAAACGAAAAAATATATCCAAAACTATTAGTTGAGGGAGAGTTGGTCACTTCCGGAGACAATCTCCTAATACAATAATTATCCCCTTTAATCTATAGAAGGTATAACAAATCCTAATAAGTGCCTACCGTATAATTACTTTTCCCTAAAGCTTACTGTTTAAAACTTGAACCCAACTTCGCGGCTAAACTTGTGATATTTGTACGTTGGTACGTACATAAACAAAGAGGTGCCAGCTTTTGCTCTTTTGGCCTCTTTTTCCAAGTAATGGGGGTAACACCCCTATACGTTGGGTTTGCAGAATCGTGGTTGTTAAAAGTTCCAACCTACATGCAAGGGAAACGAAAGGCTTAAAAGATGAGCTTTCGTTTCGTTTATTGAGTAGGGTACCTGGCCCGTCTCTTTACTTTTGTTGTTTCTGAAAATATGTACTATAATGTAAATTGGCTCAGGATTGTGGATTCCATGGCCAAAACCAACGGCTCAAAATAGAGGTGGCAATAGGGTAGAGAAAAATCGAAAATGTGAGGATTCGAATCAATAGGGATAGAGAATAATCCAAATCTTCACTCACAGGGATGTGGAAAATTTTATTCTCGAAACTCAAATGAGGATAGGGTCGGGGATTACTATATCCAAATTAGGGGATAACAAAACCGTACACGTGTGAATAACTATGAGAATCCTCGAAAAATATCCATAAAAATCCTTGATATTTTACAAAATTTTAAAAATATATTTATAACCATTTACCAATATACCCTTAATATATATTTTAATAAAAAAATTATATATAATAAGATTGTGCGATTATATGTTGCTACTGTTACATCTCAAAGGAACTAAAATGGAAGTTTATATATTTTCTTATTTAATATACATTGATTTGTTAAGATTGAAAATAATTAAGATTATACATATACATTGGGTGTTAGATGAATATTGGTGTTTGAAACTTTCATATTGTAAATAGAGATCAATTTGAGACAATATGATATATATTAAAGTTTTAGATATTGATTTCAAAATTGTTTGTTTACTTTTTGGGATGAGGATTAACCTAAACCCGCAATGATCTATAAGGGATGGGTATGAAGACAAAAAAATCCCTGAAACATATAATGAGAATTCTCCAAAACCATACCCCATAAATGTTGAGAACTAATTGAGTAATGCAAAACCGTCTCCACCCCGCCCCATTGCCACCCTAGCTCAAAACGAATCTGATGCGACCATTAGAGATACCCAAAACACTTTGCAATAAGTGCATACCCTAGGAACAAACACATTTGGTCTTACTTTCCGGTACGCAACGGGTATAAACTCCTGTTTTACAAGTGATTCAAGCTGCTAAAGTTTTTATATCTGAAGCGAATACAAGTGATAAAAACCCTATCGTATGAAGCATCAAGCAGCACTAGTTTCACTCAAAGACTAAGCATTGCTTTATATATAATACTATTTATCTAAAAGTTGGAATTAAATAACAACCCTAAAACCCTTTATCTGTCGACTCTGAAAACTTTTAACCGCTTGTTTCATTTTCTTCTTTGGTTGCAGGCGATGGCACCAATCTTAGTGTTGGCCCTGCTGCTAATACCACCATGCCAATGTCAGTTTTCTCATTGCCATTCACTTCCACAGTGTTGTCAACCACAAGATTCATCAACTGATCAAACCCACGAAGTGTTCCAACTACCATCCTGTTTGCATTCAGCTTGACTGCACAATTCACACAAATTCACACTATTACCGTCGCTTCCTTTCATAATCATCTGCAAGTTTCCATATCCCACATCCATATATATGGCTGAGACTGACCTTTTTTTTACAATGATTATCTTCTCATTTCATACTGTGTTAATCTCGCAATCTATTTTCACTTGTGCAGGGTCCTAACTAACTCCTAAATTTGTGTAAATCTAAAACAGCAACTATTTCACGTTTTCAGCTTAGAAAAGATGCAACTATCAAGACCAATTAACAGCAGCAACCCAAGCACTAGCTAAGGCAATGAATATCCATGAAAACCTAAAAGATCGAAAATATACAAGGGGGAAACCCCTCTGTTCTTGTTAATCACATTTTAGGTGCACAAAGTTAACAGAGGATACTAGCTTTACTGTTATTTATCCATCAAGAATTAGAACCCTTCAGCTACGACATCTTAACTAACCTAATTTCGGCTTAAGAAACAACAAGGAAAACTAGGTTTACATCATGAAAACTGAAAAAAGGAGCAAATAAGAAGAAAATAAACTAACTCTGGAGTTTCTTGTCCATGTGCCTGTTTTTATAAGAAAACAGCACCAACAGAAGAGACTATAAATTATTCGAGTGAAATGGAGGAGAAAAAAGAAGAAATGAAATGAGTGGAGAAAATAAAGAACATGCTTTTTGAGATCTGGAGGCTGGCCTGATCTGCTCATTGCGATGGAAGTTTGGTGTATTACGTACGGGGAGTGCCAGAGAGCCAAAAAGAGAGGAGTAGGGTTTTGAGGAGGAAGCAGCAGAAGAAAAGCCGTGAAGCTTAGAATTTAAAGTAAATTTAGTAAGGATTGTAGAGGGCCTGAGCTTTATCAAGATACGGCCCAACTATGGTGAAAAAAAATTGAGATGGAATTCATATCTGCAAAAACTAAATAGGTGCTCCGAGAAACGAACTCGGGACCTTTCACATCCGAAGCAAAAATCATACCACTAGACCAACCACCCTCCGATGAAAGACATTAAGCTTATATTTTATATTTCTTTGATGAATTGAGGGTGAATAGTAGAGAAATATGACATACTCTAGTGATATTCACAAAGGCTTGAAGTCTAACAAATGAAGGCTTCATCAAAGAAGATTATTTGCTCCTTGTCTCTCATTCAAGTTCCAAACACCAAAAGAACAAAAAGAAGAATGTTGGGGGAGAAAGATGGGTTCCTTGAAGAAGCTAGCCAAGAAGGTGAAGAGCATGGGTGGATGAGATTGTGTGGAATCAAAGTATGAATGTTTGCCAAGGGAACTTGAGCAAATCTCTTCGCCATCAGCCATGACAGCCTCGACGCCATCTGGGTCTTTCGCTATCTATGTTGGAGAGGATGATCAAAGATTTGTAGTGCCAAACCAGCTACATGACTCATCCACTCTTCAAGATGATGTTGGAGAAGCTATACAATGAATATGGTTTCGAACAAAGGGATAAACTAGTTGGTTCCATTCAGTGCCGCAATATTCCGAGAAGTTATCGATGTTGTAGAATGTTGTAATGAGAAGTTTGATTCTGGTTCAAGGCAAGAACAAAAACCAGGTCAAGAAATCTGCATTTCAGATGCATAACCTTTTGTTGTCGAAGACAAAGGTTACTAAGGTCCCTCTTAGTTTAGCGGGAAGCCTCAAGGAATTGTGAGCTAAATATAAGCTAAAAGTAGCCCAAAATATAAGAATTGACAAGTTACTAGCTTATTCAATTTCCATTTATGATGACAAAACTCGCAAAGAAATTTTTCATGAAGCCATCATTGTTCAGTGATGGAAAAACAAATCTAGCTATTACTCTGCAGACTGATACTACCATCTGCAAGAATTTTTTTCATCGATTCTATCAGTTCTTGCATTTGCTCTCTTGAATGCAGAGGCGCCGGATACACGCATGCGCAATCCAAACATCCATCTCGAATGGTGTCGAATATGGCAATGGTTGGACCAATGCCGTGAACCGAAGAACACCCCACGTAGTCCACTAGGCCGATTTCTTGGTGCAGTTTGTTGGATTCATCAATCTCAGGATCTTCAAAAATCGAGATGAAGGCAGTTCTCATAGATGATGATGGAGTCAATCCAGGGTTGTCAATGGCCTTACACATGAGGAAGTTCAGGTCATTCATATCAGTGAAATGTTTGTTGTTGTTCTTGGCATTGGAAAAGGATGTATAACATCTGTTTGCTAACTCCCATAAATCGTCATTGGCGGCCACATCGTGCGTATTCAAGATTGCAGAATGGTAAAATCCTAATAGAAGATGATAAAAAGAACACGAGTATACCATATTATGAAACTTTTTACCTTATATCAAGGGTCCAAGACACAAGTGGCAAGCAAATCTAGCATATAATCTTGCCTCGAGAACTCAAGCATCGATCGGATAGGGATAATAATCGGAATGAACAAGTACGTACCGAAATGATTGCCACCGAGTGCTGGCTCGAGAATGGATCGACAGTCGGTGAGGGTTACAACGGCGTATTTTTCCCTTTGATGATCAGGGAAAGGTTTGGTGGAACGAGCTGCAAGCAAAGCAGCTGCTGCCAGGGCTCCACAGAGTTTAATATCCCATGATTTGCAACCCTGTAAGTTGTATATAATGCAACTTGAAACCTCAAAACAATTTAATGACACAAACCCCGACTATTTTTCAACTAAAGAATGATCACAAGTTCAATTTGTTGATGAATTATTCCAGGCATAATGTTTTGAACAGAGAATAAAAACAATTTGTGGCTTACAGCAACAAGCTTGTCGGTGTCATCTTGGTTCATCTTCAACCTCACAACCTGAGAATGTCTAGCCGAATCGGCAACAATGAAGTTGAGATTCGCCAGCCTGAAAGAGTTCAAGGAGTAGCCAAGCAAGTCAACCCCACGCACCCAAAGAGACTTGTTAGCTTTGCCACTAGGAATCAAATCTTCAATCCCCACTTGTTTCTCTTCATTTCCCATCTCTATCTCCTCCTCCGCCGTGTTGATTCTCCCACCACCCACCATCTCCAGCAATTCCCTCAACAGACCCGCCGCCGCAGCGCGGTCACAAGCCGACGTGTGTAGCCGGAACACCAACAACCAACTCGTCTCGCTTATCGTGTAAAAGCTGACAAAAAAAACATCCCTGTCGACTTGGTCACCGTCCTCATCATCATCGTTACGGATCCATGAGTTTCTATTCAGCTCATGCTCGAGTAAAATGTGGCTTGGGTCGATGTGGGAATCATCTGAGAAGCTTTGGAGAATGTGGGAAGTTGATTGAAGATCAAAGGACTGGATTTTGACATGGGGATCACACGGTGTTGCGAAATAGAAAGTGTTGCAGGAAGCATCGAAGTGGATCCTTGAACGAAGAATGGGATGATAAACTTGGAGTCTTGAAAGGGCCGCTTCAAGAACTGAGATATCGGGTTCATTACAGAGGCGGAGGGACAAGACTGTGATGCCGGTGCCGCCGGGCACCGCTCGGCACCAGCTGTACTCGGTGCCACCAGCGGTTCGAACCATGGGTTCTGGGATTTTGGTCTGGGTTTCGTCGGATTCTAACATTTTAGTCGACGGAATTGAGGACTGAAAATTTGAGGAAATGAACGGATGAGACCAGTGAAGACAGAAGGCCGAAAATCGTTAGACTGAAAAACAAAACAAAAAATATCGGGGTTTTATTTATTCTTTTAATTCTCGTAATAATATTATGGGTAAACTAAGCATTTAGTACCTAAACTATCAGTCTTGATCTAGTTTAGTATCTAAACTTTTAATTTTTTAAAATCATATCTAACATTTAGTTTTTATTTTATTTTAGTACCCCACTGTTAAAAATTTGATGTGATTAGTACCTAAACTATCAGTTTTGGTACCTAAACTTTTAATTTTTTTAAGGATGTCACAAAGATTATGTATAACATTTTCGTTCGAAATCGGTAAAATTTTATTTCTTTTAAAATATCTTTATTTAACATTTATTATCAGACTATTTAATCAAATAAAATCATAATGTGCTATTTTATTTTCCAATTTACATCAGTATTTAGGCAGTCACTAGGAAGTTTAATACTATTTACTATTACAATTAAATCTGCCTAATTTAAAAGTTTTATCGATTAACCTTTATAATATATTATTACACTTGTACAATTAACATCTTGTTATATTTCCATCTCTTTTATGATATTTCACATATTAATTTATTTCACATTTTAATATAACTCTCGTATTCAACCTATTTAACTCATATATGTTAAATTACATAATGATAGTATGCAACTTATATATTACTACAAAAATCGTATAACCAAATAATATAAATCCATTTAATTAAGATTTGTCCAATTCATTTCATATACAAATTAATTTATAATACAACTTTTTATCTATAATCGTTCCATGTTAAATTGAACTTCAAACCAGTACTCTTTATTTCTTCCTATAATGTTCATTTTCTTATATTGTTTCTCTTTTTAGTCTTGTTCCTTTCTCTTATATTGTACCATTTATTGTAGTATTTCTTTAATTTCATTTTATAGTCCAGTACATAATTAGGAGAATGTTTGATACTCGAGTCTCATTGAGTGTACACTTGTATGCACTTAAAAGTGCCTCGTAAATATATTTGTACTCGAAAGTGCCTTGTAAAATTGTACCATAGGTGCTATATAAACATGTATCATATAGTCACTACACCTCATACACCATAAATGTACACAAGTCTCGTTGAGTGATCAGTACAATATTCAATTATCACTACACCTCATGCACCACAAAGGTACATGAGTCTCATTGAGTAATATGTACAATATTTAAGGGTATGTTTGTTTCCCGTAATTGGAATTACGGAATTGGTTTTCCCCGAATTCCCGTGTTTGTTTCACGTAATTCATTTTCCGGAAAATGTTTTCCCGTGTTTGTTTCACGTAATTCATTTTCCGGAAAACGTTTTCCCGTGTTTGTTTCACGTAATTCGTTTTCCGAAATGTAATTCATTTTCCTAGTAACAGAATTTCCTTTGTGTTTTCTGTAAAATGACTTACGGATTCATTTTCCGTAAGTCATTTTCCGAACTTTTTACTTCAAAGCAAAAATACTCAAAATAATTTTATTTTATGAATTTAATATTAATAGAATATTTTAATATCATTTTCATCAAAATATTAATTATTAAAATATTTAAAATATATTTATTAATATTTATAATAATATAATATTATATTTTTAATATTATATAAAATAATCAATTATATTATAATAATATAAGATATTATATTTTTATTTTAATAATATATAATAATTTTTTATATATTTAATAATGAATAATATTATTTATATATTTCAATAATATTTTAGTAAAGATATTAAAATATACTAATTAATATTTTTAAAATATAATATAGCACTATTACTTTAATAAATAATTAATATAATTTATAAAATTTTATTTCACTAAAATATACCGAAAAAATGTTTAAATAACATCTTCCAAACATCATAAAACGTTTTCCAGATGTTTTCCAGAAATGTAATTCATTTTCCAGAAATGTAATTCATTTTACAGAAATATAATTCATTTTCCAGAATTCAAATTCCAGTAATTCATTTTCCAGTAATTCAAATTCCAGTAATTCAAATTCCAGTAATTCATTTTCTGGAAAACCAATTATAGCTAAACAAACAGACCCTAATTATCACTCCACCTCATACACCACAAAGGTACATGAGTTTCGTTGAGTGATTTGTGCAGTATTCAATTATCACTCCACCTCATGCACCACAAAGGTACATGAGTCACATTGAGTGATATGTACAGTATTCAACAATCACTCCACCTCGTGCATCATTGACTCTCATATTTTATACACCGAGTTTTTATTTAAATCTTATTTCATTTTTAATATAAAACATTTATAGAATAATTATCAACTTCATATATTATTTTAACATATATTAATACTTTAATTAACTTAATAACTCATGTGCGTATAAATATTTTAAAAATATTATTAATGTATATGTGATAGTAATTTCTTTTATCAAATCGAAACTAACTTTAATTCTATTAAATTATCCTTCTAAGTCCCTTAAATAATCACAATTATTATTTTCACAATAATTCACTTGACTTTTCAACATTTCACATTTAACCACAAATAAACTTTTCTTTCAATTATAAATCCAATATTTCGTATATAAACAAATTAGTTCCTTATTATTCAATTTAAATCCATTTCAATTATTTTATACAACTCCTCATATTGAGCCAAATTCCAATTTAACTATTTAAATCCCTCTAATAATTGTTTAGACTTTACACATCACCTCATACTTAATTTCTATTTTAATCCTTAATTTATCCATATTTACAATTTAGTCCTTTAACATATACATTCTTCCAAATTTGATTCTAAATCCATAATATCATAAATTTAACCATATGGTAGCTTTTTTTAGAATTTCATCTCAACTTTTATATTTTATTTAATATAGTTATTTTCTCCATTTAATCCTAAATTCAAGCATCCTAAAACAAATTCAAATATTCCAACAACATGTTCAATTTCTGTTCATTAATTTATATCAATTCCCATTTCAAAACTCCTAACTTATATAATTTATAATTTAGTCATCAATCTTAATAATTTTTTACAAATTTAACTTCAATTCAAGCTTCAATTAACATAACCAAAATTTTCAGCCTTTTAATTAAAAACATAATACCCTAATAATTAAAAAAAAATCACTTAAGTCCTTACTTATTTTCATAATTTATTATTTAACCCCCAAACTTTTCTAAATTTCCAAATTAGTCCAATTTCACATCCTAACATCAAATTCAATATTTTAACAATAAATTCCAATATAATAATCATCTATTGAACAATTACACATTGTTCCTTATATTTCTTAATTCATGCTAATAAATCCCTACACTTTCACAATTTTCCAAATTGGTCCAATCACATTCAAAGCATGTAAAAATCACTCCTACATTATTTTTAACCCTTGTAAAATTTTACCACATGTTTTCCTTATTTCTTTCCCTTTGGACGAATACTTTTAAGTTTTCCTAGCATATGGATTATATTTTAATTCAAGCATGAATACATCATCTAAACAACATTTCCATGAAATTCTTCATAGTTTCATCATATGATAAATGTCATAATTATCATTCTAAGATAATAGAGTTATCTCATTTCAAACAATTAAGATAGCATATAACATAAAAGTATCATAAAATGCATAATTTACCTCAATTTCACATTCTAACAGTTTATCCTCAAAGAAATATTATTATGTATTAATCTAGGCACTTAAAAAATTATTTCGTTTATACCATTAAAAATTAGACTCGAATACGAATCTAACCATATAAGGAACTTCTTCTAGTTCAATTTGTACAATTTATGGTGAATTTTCTAATACAACTTACATAATCTGTTTGAGCATAATCTGTTGCCCAAAATTTTGACTTTTCATCAGTTAAAAATTCATATCTTTTTGTATACACTTCCAAATCAGTATCCTTTTGTTTTAAATAAAACTAGCTGATATACGAATTCAATGTTATAAAAATAATCTTCTAATCATTCTTGTAGAATTTATGGTGAATTTATAAACTTATTGTTCAGATTACCAACTTAGACAAATTTTACTAATTTGTATTTCTTAGCTTATTCACTAATTCTATTAGCTTATCAAATGAACACATATACATAAATTGAAGTTCCTATTATTACTTCCATGTAATCTCAATTAGGCCTGTAAATGAACTGAACGTTCAGCGAACCGTTCATGAACCGTGCGGCGGGAAGTTCGTTTATGTGCGTTTATTTATTAAATGAACGAACATGAACAAGATTTTTTGTTCGTTTAATTAAATGAACGAACATGAACATAGGTCTCGTTCGTTCATTTACGTTCGTGAACGTTCGGTTATGTTCGTTCGGTTATGTTCGTTTATGTTCGTTCGATTATGTTCGTTTATGTTCATTCATTTATGTTTAACCCAATCTTCTTAAATCAATTTTGGTGACCAATTTGTAAGTATCTTAAAAATATTAATTAATATGATATTCTGATTACCAACTCCATAATTAATCCAATTTTATTTGGAGATTAAATCCAATATGTTAACCTGTGAGGCACCTCGCACCTATATTCATTTCCCCCTTTTTTTCCCAAACCCTACTGTTCACTAGAGAGTGGAGACGATCGCTGAAAGCTTCAAAACAATTTATATTATAGTGCAATATGAAGTTTTACATGTTTGTTTTCATCTCTTTCTCTGTTTTATTTGGCTTAATAGTTGATATGTAAAGTTATTGCAGGTATCTTCACATCTAAAAACTCAAGAAAACATCATACTTCTTTCTAGAAATAGATGGGAATATAAAGGTAACAATCGGAAGTATACAAGCATCAGTAAAGAGAAAAATATATAGAATTTGCCAGAAAACAAAACAAAGGTTTCTATGCAATTTCTGAAAAAGAGTGTAATAGCGGAAAATAATTGTTCATATGTAATCATGGACCACTAAGATAAATGTTATAGCGTTAAATTAAAGTTGTGTGAATCATTTAATATCTTTAAAAGATCGATCGAAATATTTGATATCTTCAA